CTCCAATACTTTGGCTACCTCATGCGAAGAGTTGACTCATTGGAAAAGACCCTGATGGTGGGAGGGATTGGGGTCAGGAGGAGAAGGGGGCAACAGAGGATGAGATGGCTGGATGGCATCACCGACTCGATGGACATGAGTTTGAGTAAACTCCGGGAGTTGGTGATGGACAGCCTGGCGTTCTGTGAATTATGGGATCGTAAAGAGTCGGACATGACTAAGTAAGTGAACAGAACTGAACTGAATAAATCATAATGGAAAAAAAATTTTCAAAGATAAAAAGTACCAAAAAAGACAATAAAAGCATCCCTCCAACTACAGAATGAAGAGAGAGTTGTATGAGTAGAGAAGTAGGGAGACCATAGCAGACCATCTTTGTCACATTGAAGGTTTATAAAGTTATAAAGCCATTGTGATAATTTCCTAGGACTCATAAAAATATGCTACTCTGAACTGAAATCTCAAATGCAACAAATGGTGTTATTTCTACTTACTATTAATGGACAAACCACATTTAGCCCCAATCCCAGCAAAACATAAGAAACAGTGGAAAAAACAAGTGATGTTAAAGAGTTGCTAAACTTGTTTACCTCTTGTTTGTACTGGCCGGTTTGTGCATTTTTCTTTAAGTCAAAAGAAATCAAGGCCTATTGAGGACAGTTACTCTCTGTGGATAAAATGGTGTCAAATGGCTCAGATAGAAGCAGTAGTTCTCCCTAGATTGCTGTATGAGCACTACTCCTCAGTGATGTGGAGGGGTCATAACTTACCTTCCCTCTCAAGACATGCTGGCTATCTGATAATTAATTTTCCCAATCCTGTCTCTCTCTCCAAGGTGTTCTAATTTATTTTTCTCCCTGTTGTTTAGAATCTAAGGCTATTTCATTAATGGGATTCTTTTACACAAACAGAAAAACTCAGCATGACCAAAGTCAGAGTGGTCAGCAGCTCAGTGCTTCCCTGCCTCCCAGCTCTAACACCTTATTAGGTCTGATAACCCCAGCCTGCCTGCCAGTCCACAACTGCTTCATGTTGCATTCTTCAAATACATTCTGCTTCTGCATGGAAATCACCAGTTTGATGTGTTATGAAATTATTCCCTAGAACTGATTTCCCCAAACTGTGATGTGAAAATGAATCACCTAGAGACCTCGGTAAAATGCAGATTTGAATTTAGTCCATCTGGGGCAGGGCCTAGGATTGAGCATGTACCAGAGGATGCTGATGCTGGTGATCTGAGGACCAGACTTCAGTAATAAGGTCCAGGACTAAAGGCAACCACAGTTTAAAACATTATTCAATTTTTTCCATATATATATATATATAAAACATATATATGGCATATATACAACATATGCATATATAATATATGAAATATAGATATCATATATACATATATGTGATATATATAACAAAAAGAAGGCTGAATGCCAAAGAATTGATGCTTTCAAACTGTGGTGCTGGAGAAGACTCTTGAGAGTCCCTTGGACAGCAAGGAGATCAAACCAGTCAATCCTAAAGGAAATCAACCCTGAATATTCATTGGAAGGACTGACACTGAAGCTGAAGCTCCAATACTTTGGCTACCTGATGGGAGGAGCCGAGTCACTGGAAAAGACCCTGATGCTGGGAAAGATTGAAGGAAGGAGGATAAGGGGACGACAAAGGATGAGATGGTTGGATGGCATCGCTAACTCAATGGACATGAGTTTAAGCAAACTCAGGGAAATTGTGAAGCACAGGGAAGCCTGGCGTCCGTGGGGTTGCAAAGAGTCAGACATGACAGTGACTGAACAACAAATATATAACATATATATATATGATGCATATATATATATTATATACATTCATAGAAAAAGAATGTATTTAAAACAGTTAAAACTCATGGATAAAGAAGTGTCAAATGGCTTGGGTGGCAGTTATCACCATGATTTTTTCTTAGATGATTATTTGGTGAAAGAAGTTTTGAAAACATATCTAAGTATGGTATACATAATAATGATATACCATCTTGCATTGATAACCTAAATACTATCTACCCTATGTAATAACATCTTTTTATGCAAGAGGGGATGTATACTCATCTTTGGTAGAATTTCTTCAAGGTCAATAGCTCACAATGATGAATGCATAAGACCCTCAGCCCTGGCTATCAAAGTACACCCTCAAGACCACCAGCAACAGAATCACCTGGAAACTTGTTAAAATTCCAAACTTGGGGCTTCACCCAAAATTTACTTAATCAGAAATGCTCTTCATAGAGCCTAGCTATCCTCTTTGAACAAATCCTCCAAGTGATTCTGAATTTTGAGAACTATAGCTCTAGAGGACTAGTTGCTTTATTTCCATTTCTAGATATATAGCACGCATATGATTTTCTTAAACATATAGAAAGGGTAAAAAGGAAATATGACTCCCATAAACTTCATCTTAATAGTGCTTTGCACATATAAATGAATTAATAAATACAAACCAGGCAAAAGGGGGAAGATTAGTATAATTTTCCTCACAATTTATAATATATCTTCCTCCTTTACTAATGCAACTATTAACTATTCATTGCATGAAGGAGGAAACCCAAAATGTGATACAGATATTGACATTTTAAATTTTAGGCAATTTATAGCCAGCAGTAAGCTCTCTGGAGGCCAGCTTGATATTGCTTTGAGGGCCACTTCTCAATTTCTTATACAAAGAGTATCTAGTCATTGTTCTTTTCTCATCTCAAAGTTTATTCCTCCTGGGAAGAATCTATCTGAACCATCCCCTCAATATAATTGACTATTTATATGCAGCTATTACTGGCAAACTTCACCCTCTTGAGGGCCACTAACCATGCCCAGGCCTGACTGTGGGATACTTTTATGATGAAATGTCACCAGAAAACATGAATCTAACTATGGAAAACTTCAGGCTGGCTTTCTGAAGTGTTCTATGGAAAAATTATATCAGGTGGAGTGCATGGATCCACTTCAGTCCAGGGCCCTATTATTAATTTTTAAAAAATGCTTCTCAGAAGTAACTGGTAAATTCTAATCAATTTCTCAGTGGCAGCATTCCCCTGAGTTTTCATCATAACATCTGCTACTGGCAGTGGCCCTAAAAGAGCAATAAGTAATTTCGTGTCATCATTAAGGATTAGAATCTGTAACATTTCAACAGCAAATACACTTCATAAATCACAAATATCTCTGCACTGCATTTTAATCAAGACTTTCTGGAAAAGTTACATTTCATGTCATAACTTTTGCTCACCTTTTACATGGTATGTTTTCAATATGTTTTTAACCAGTGTGTAACTACTCATTTAAAAAATAATCTTTTTAATGTCCTGAAAATCGATGTTATCTAACAAAAGGAATAAATCAAGCTAATAGCTTTGCAATAATATACAAAATATTAATGAACAATTTAGGCAAAACTATTAATAAACTTACAATGGTTAATTTTATGTGTCAACTTGGCTAGGCTACAGGACCCAAATATTTGGTCAAACTTTACTCTGGATGTTTCTGTGAAGGTGGGTTTCAGATAAGATTGATATTTAAATAGATGGTCTTTGAAGAAAACAGATTAATTCCATAGTGTAAGTGGGTCTCATTCAATAAGTTGAAGGCCTTAAATAAAAAAAGAGTCTGAATGTCTCTCAAGCAAGAAGGAATTCTGCCAGCACACTTCCTTTGTACCAAACTACACTCTTCCTTGTGTCTCCAGACTGCTGGAGTAACCTATCAAGTTTTAGATTTGCCAAGCCTCCACAACTTTGTAAGCCAATTCCTTGATCTCTCTCTCTGTCTCTCTCTGACATGCACAGTCTATGTATATGTATTTGTATATAAAAATAAATGCTACACAGAGAACTATATTCAACATCCTATTATAAACCATAATGCAAAATAATATTAAAGCAAGAATATATATATATGTATAAATGAATCACTTTGCTGTACAGCAGAAATTAAAAAAAGCATTTCAAATCAACTAAACTTCAACAAAAATATTTTTAGTTTAATGCTAGATACAATGTGTTTCTTATATATATATAGGAGATATATATATATCTGTGTGTACACAAATGGTATTAACAGAAAATTGTATGTAAAACCACATATTTTATCATTAATGAAAACCAATCTGAAAAGTTTATCTGATAGAATTCCCAAAGAGAAAACATTCTCTCTTAAAGCAGCCACTCTGGCGTGCTTATTTACTAATCCAGGGACAATCTGCGCCCCCCCCCCACCCCCTCCAGAGAAATTCTTCCTGGGAAAAGAAATAGGCCTTTAAAAATAAGATAGGCTCTTATCTGTCTGGCACATGCCCAGCATGGGACAGTTGGAAGAAAGGATCTGTAAGGATTCTGCCTCCCCTTCAGCACAGCAATAGTTAATTTCTTCAGTTAGAACCTACCATTTCCAAGAATAAGGTCCCCCATCTTCATTGGCAATAAAAGACAACCTCAACGGTCCATTCAGGACTGCTCCAGCTCTGAAAGACGGGAAACTAGAACTTTATCTTCCTGACACATGTTGTTTTAGCACTTAGTGAAATAAATGGCTTCTATATTGCACATCATTATTCATATACTAAAAATGTTTTTAAAAGATTTTCAATTTGGATCATCTCTTATCATTTTGACTTTTTCAGCTATGTTGAGGGAGTTCTATGTATTAAAAAATCATAAATATTCAGCATTAAGTCTGCAAGAAGAACAGAGGAAAAATTAATAGTATGTCATTGACAAGTTCAAATTAAAGTAACAGTGCCCTGTGTTCACCTCAGGTAGCAGTTTTAAGAGCTCAGTGTCAATTAAAAAATTAACTATTCTCAAAACTGGTAAAATATCCCTTTTCTCATAAAAGTTCAGGCTTTTTTTATTAACTAAAAATAAATGGGCTTTACATTTGTATTCTTTGAACTTGAAACCGAATATATTGGTTATTATGCACCACCTCAGGCAGGATTCCTCATAAACTTCCAAGTCTTGTGCAAGACTGCACAACAGAGAGGAAGCTGGAGAATCATCAAAGAGTCCAGAAAAAAGAACAGTAATGATGGAAACAGGGTTGCAAAATAAGGTCTTCCCAGAGAAATAAAATTGAAAAACTAAGGAACAATTTAATAACCAACTTCAATTGTTAAAAACGATGATGAGCAACCAAGGCATAGTGATTTCATTTGAAAGGTAGACCAAGCTAAAATATAAACTTGCAGCAAGTGTATCAGCTAAGACACAAAAATAATGTTTTTAAATTTTCTCTCCAAATTAAAGATTAACAAATATTAACATATATTGTAGAAGATAAATGATGGAAGTTTTTTCTATACATTCAGGGCACTTTCATCAAGCAAACCTGTCCCTGCCACCTGTTACTCCAGGTTACTCATCTCCTCCCTCCATGTCGTTTGCTCTGTCTTAAACCTCCAGACAGACATATTTCTACTTCAGACCTCTGCATTCATGATTTCTTCTGACTGAAAATTTCTTCCTGCAGAAAGACACTTGGGTCATTTTCTCTTCTCCTTCATGCATTTCCTCTAGATGCATTCCTACCATCTCACTGAAATCTGCCCTGACCACCCTTCCTTTCAACTGCTTCTGTTACTATTCCTTGATTCACTTATCATCTTTAGTAGTCTCTCTCTCTCAGGAAACAAGTTGCCATGTTGGAAAAGCCCACATGGTAAAGAAAAGAGGATAGTCTCCAGGAGACAACCACAAAGAAGGTGAGGCCCTTAGTCTGTCTCACAGCCCACCAAGAAGAGAATCCCACTAACAACTGCAAAAGCTTCGAAGTGAATCCTTCTCCGCTCGAGACGACAACAGACTACCTCTCAATTGAAGCCTCTGAGAGACTCATAAAAATGAAGCCAGATAACCTCTGTCCAAATTCATCATTTACAGAAACTGTGAGATAATAAATGCACATTTTAAGTCACATTTTGGGTACACAGTAATAGCCAATATATATATAGTTTCTGCAGGCATTTTTATTGGGGTTGTGTTAAATATAGAGGTCAATACTATAGGGGAAAATGGAATCTTTGCTATGTGGAATCTTCCAATCTTTGTACACAGTATGTTCTCCACTTATTTCGGTTTTGATTTTGTTAATCAGTACTTTATAGCTTTCAGCATACATATCCTTTACATATTTTGTTAGATTTATACAAATGCCTTTCATTTTTGGAGTGATTAAAATTTCAGTTCCATTATTCATTGCTAATATATAGAAATATAACTGATTTTTTTGTCTTTTTAACTCATTACACTCATTTATTAGTTCTAAGAAGTGTTGGTAGATATAGGGGTATTATCCATAAGGAATTGTGCTGTTTGGAAATACAGTCATATTTCTTTCTTTCCTTTCCATTTATACACATTTTCTTTTTCATTCCTTATTACACTACCCAGGACTTCTAGTACAATATTGAACAGTAATGGTGAGAATGGGTATCTTTGCCTTGTTCCTGACCTTACAGGGAAAGTGACCAGTCTCTCAAGAGTAAGCAATGTCAGCACTGGGAGTTTTGTAGCTGCCCTTTACCTGGACATGGAAAAACAGACTGGTTCCAAATAGGAAAAGGAGTACATCAAGGCTGTATATTGTCACCCTGCTTATTTAACTTATATGCAGAGTACATCATGAGAAATGCTGGGCTGGAGGAAGCACAAGCTGGAATCAAGATTGCGGGGAGAAATATCAATAACCTCAGATATGCAGATGATACCACCCTTATGGCAGAAAGTGAAGAAGAACTCTTTAAAGAGCCTCTTGATGAAAGTGAAAGAGGAGCGTGAAAAAGTTGGCTTAAAGCTCAACATTCAGAAAACTAAGATCATGGCATCTGGTCCCATCACTTCATGGCAAATAGATGGGGAAACAGTGGTTGACTTTATTTTTCTGTGCTCCAAAATCACTGCAGATGGTGACTGCAGCCATGAAATTAAAAGTCACTTGCTCCTTGGAAGGAAAGTTATGACCAACCTGGACAGCATATTAAAAAGCAGAGACATTACTTTGCCAACAAAGGTCCGTCTAGTCAAGGCTATGTTTTTTCCAGTAGTCATGTATGCATGTGAGAGTTGGACTATAAAGAAAGCTGAGCGCTGAAGAATTGATGCTTTTGAACTGTGGTGTTGGGGAAGACTCTTGAGAGTCCCTTGGACTGCAAGGAGATCCAACCAGTCCATCCTAAAGGAGATTGGTCCTGAGTGTTCATTGGAGGGACTGATGTTGAAGCTGAAACTCCAATACTTTGGCCACCTGCTGTGAAGAGCTGACTCATTGGAAAAGACCCTGATGCTGGGAAAGACTGAGGGCGGGAGGAGAAGGGGACAACAGAGGATGAGATGGTTGGATGGCATCACTGACACAATGGACATGGGTTTGGGTGGACTCCGGGAGTTGGTGATGGACAGGGAGGCCTGGCGTGCTGCAGTTCATGGGGTCACAAAGAGTCAGACACGATTGAGCGATTGAACTGAACTGAACTTTACCAGGATATTCCCTTCTATTTCTAGTTGACTCTAGTTGTTAGCTTGTTGATTCTTATTTTTTTTTTGACAACTGTTTCATAATGTATGTTGAATTTTGTCAAATGATTTTTCTATGACAGTTGATATATCACTGTGAGGTTTCTAAACTTAGATTGTTAATATTGTAAAATTTATCCGTTGATTTTCAAATATTAAAACAGGCTTCCATTCTTGAAACACACCCCCACTTGAACTGTGATGTATTATTCTTTTTATATGTTGGTATATATATTTTAGCTAATATTTTGTCAAGGATCTTTAGGTCTCTGGTCATGAGGAATGTTGGTCAATAAGTTTATTTTTTAGTATTGCCTTTATATGGTATTAATATCAAGGTATTGGTGGTCTCATAAGATGAGTTTGGAAGTGTTCCCTCCTCTTCAATGTCCTGGAAGACACAGTGTAGAATTGGTATTATTTTCTCCTTAAAAGTTTAGTAGAGTTTGTGAAATGATCTTGGCCTTTAGATTTCCTTCTTTGAAGAATTTAATTATGTCTTCAAGAGTAATGGAATTACTTGGGATATCTATTTCATCTTCAGAAAAAATGTTGAGAGTTTTTGAGGTTTGAAGAATTATCCACTTCACTGAAGATGTTGAAAGTATATTTGGATAATTGTTCATAGTATTCTCTTATTACTATTTTGGGTTTTTTCAACTTTATTTAGGCATAATTGTAAAATAAAATTTTTAAATATTTGAAATAAAATTTTAAATATTTAAAGTGTACAGCATTATTTGATATTCATGTACATTGTGAAAGAATTCCCATAATCAAGTTAACATGTCTACCACTTTATATATTTACATCTTTTTTGTGTTTACCTGTTTTGTGTTAACATTTAGTTACTTCTCTTATTGAATTGTAATTTCAATTTTACAAAACAGTGTTCTCAACTGCAGTCATCATGTTATACATATTTTACATGACATTCTCAGAATTTATTCATCCTGTAACAGAAAGTTTGTATCCTTTTACTCATCTCTCCTTATTTCCCCCAGCAAAATACTTTCTACTCTCTGCTTCAGTGAGTTCAACTTTTTTAAGATTCCACACATAAATGATATCATGCAGTATTTGTCTTATTTCACATAGCATAGTGACTTTATTTCCTTCAGATATATATGTAGGAGTGGGGATGATGGACCATATAGTAGTTTTATTTTTATTTCTTGAGGAACCTTCATACTGTTTTCCATAGTGGCTACACTAATTTACATTCCCACCAACAGTGTACAAGGGTTCCCTTTTCTCTACATCCTCACCAACATTTATCACCTCTTGGCTTTTTGATAATGGACAATCTAACAGGTGGAGGTGTTATCTCATTGTGGTTTTGATTTGCATTTCCTTAATGATTTGAGATGTTGAGTACCCTTCAATGAACCTGTGGGCTATTTGTATGTATTCTTTGGGAAAATGTCTATTCAGGTCCTCTGCCCATTTAAAAAGTGGGGTTATTTTTTTTTTTTGCCACTGAGTTGTATCAATTCAATTTACATTTTGGATATTAACCCATTATTGGATATGTGATTTGTAGATGTTTTCTCCCAAAATTGTTCTTTCTATTCCTATGGAAAATGTCATTAGAATTTTGATAGAGATTGCCTTGCAGCTATGATTGCTTTGAGTAGTATGGACATTTTAACAATATTAATTCTTCCAGTCCATGCACAGGGAACATCTTTCTATTTATTCATCCCTTTTCTTCAATTTCTTTTACTAATGTTTTATAGCTTTCACTGTACAGATATTTCTGTCAAATCCTAGGTTAAAATTACTCCTTTTTGTCCTTTTTGATGCTATTGAAAAGAAGATTGCTGACCTGTGGATTACATAGGAGTGTGTTGTTTAAATTTCAAGTGATCAGAGATTTTCCTTTTATCTTTGTTATTTCTAATTTGATTCCTATGTCAGAGCATACATTTTATGATTTCAATCATTGTAAATCTATGTTTTGTTTTATGCCCTATAAGGCAATCTATCCTGATGAATGTTCCATGTGCAGTTGAGAATGCATATTCTGCTGTTGATTGGTTGAATAGTATATAAATGTCAATTATACTCAGTTTACTAATGACGTTGCACATTCTTCCACATCTTTGCTGAAGACTTTCTATCAGTTTTTATCAATTACAGAGAGGAAAGTATTGAGGTTCCCAACTATAATTGTGGTGGTTTTCAGTTCTTCCATCTATTTTTCATTCCTCTGATCTCTTTTCTGCTTTTAGTTATTTTTAACATTTTTAGTGTTTCATTTTATGTTTTTCTTTCTTTTTTAACTACATCTCCTTATGCAGGGTTTTTTTTTTTTTTAGGTTGTTTAAGGAATATACATACTGAAAATTTTTAATTTTTTTATTGAAGGACAATTGCTTTACAAAATTTTGTTGTTTTCTGTCAAACCTCAACATGAATCAGCCATAGGTGTACATATATACCCTCCCATCTCCTGCCCCATCCCAACCCTCCA